TGGAAGTCCCATTTGACTCAGCTATTCTCCTGCTGGGTATCTGCCCCAAAGAATTAAAAGAATCATACCACAGTGATATATGTGCACCCATGTTCATAGCAGCACAATTCATGATGACCATTTATTTTTCTTAAAGTGCTCAAGGGCTGGGAATTTAGCTCAGTAGTGCCACCGCCTGCCTCGTAAGTGCAAGGTCCTGAGTTCAATCCCCAGTACTGAAAAAAAAAGTGTTCTAGTATATGTAACTGTGGCTTTACTATATTTTCCTACAAAGTCCTGAGATTGATAATTCATATTTTCCTACTAGCAAGAAAACATTAAGTCTTTAAATTATTAAAGATCAACAAATAGCTTTGCTGCCCACAGGTAGGATTTCTGGTTCACACATGGGTGCCCATTTCTGGGATTATCGTACAAGTGTGGCCAAGGTAGCTGTTAGGCCAAAACAAAGCAACATAATACAAGGGTGACAGTTGGATGGTTAAATGGAAGCAAACTTTGGCCCCTAAACGAGCATAATCTCAGTCCCCAGGCTGACCCATCCTGGGTGATTCTGTGTCCAGCTCTGAACTTCATGACAGAGACTTCAGAACTTACTATCAGAGTTTTTAAAACCAAAAACAAATTATTAAAAATTTAAGGAGTGAAACCTCTAAAGCAATGACTAAAATAAGATTCTCTAATAATTTGAAAGATTACTCAAAATTATTATCAAACAGACCCTGAGATTTAGCTCAGTGGTTCTGCCACCTGCCTGGAAAGCGAAAGGTACCGAGTTCAATCCCCAGTACCAAAAAAAAAAATTATTATCAAACAAACAAGCAAACAGAGCTCCCTGCCTCAACAACCCTTTGATGGTCAGGAAGCAGCACATCCCAAACAAACGACAGTCACTCGGTGCTGGGGATCGATCCCAGGGCCTTACACTGGCATTGAACTTGCCTTTCTGCTCCTTACAGGAGATGGTCTTACAAAACTCATTCAAATTGGGTGATTTTATCTTTAAAAATAATAGATAAAACTTAATATGCCATCTATTCCAAAATGTGTACATTTTCAAATTTTAATAAGCAGAACAACCTTGTAGCTTTGGAATTCCGGGTGTCATAGATTTGGAGACACAGAGTTTGGGAGGTGGAGGAGCTGACCTGCAATGACAAAATTTTAGATTGTGATGACAGTCTTTAGGCTTCGCCATGAGAACTCAAGCCTCCTAAATAATTTTGATATAAATTGTCCTATCAGTGTCATATGTACTATGTTAATGTTTGTGGTGCCATTTTTAAATGATTTTTTCCTTAAGGGTTCTGGGCGCGTGAAGTAGGTGCCATGATTGGCCTGGAACATCCTCTCATCCCAGTCCAACATCAATACGTGGTTACCTCCACCATCCCAGAAGTGCAAGCTCTGAAGCAAGAACTCCCTGTGCTCCGGGACCTAGAAGGGTCCTATTACCTCCGACAGGAGCGGGATGGGCTTCTGTTTGGACCCTACGAGAGTCAAGAGAAAATGAAGGTTCAGGACACGTGGGTCACTAGCGGGGTGCCCCCAGGTAGGTCCTACAGGCCAGACACGAATGGTTCAGGGTGGGCCAACAGCGGAGTGAGACAAGCATGTCCTCTAGCATGAGCAGATACCTGAGCCCCTGGAGTGCCTGTTCCTGGGGTGCCTGTCCCTGGGGGTGACTGTTCCTGGGGTGACTGTCTTCCCCCACCTTTGAGCATGCGGCATGGAGTGAACATGAGTGTCTGAGCTGCTGGGAAAGACTCCATCTGCATCATTCACTCTGCCAATCTCCAGCCTCCCACCTTGCCCTCAGCCTGCTGCCTGCTTAGAGTAGTTTCAGGATTCTGGTCGAGCAGATCTGAGCTTCCACAGGTGACCTGGGACCCATCAGAGGCAAAACACCACCTTCTGGGAAGGAAGGCCAGAGGTGGGGAGATACTAAATTTCGGAGGCTGGGTTTGAACTTGGGATCCTCCGGTCTTTGCCTCCCAGAGTGCTGGAACTGTATGTATGAACCATCCACTTGGCTTAGAATTATGCCTTGATAAGCAACTTGGGATAGAGAACGAAACCCTCCCTCCAATAGGCAGCAGGCAGAGTAGCAGGAGTTGATCCCTAACCTGCCTTCTCACAGGTGGGACAGTTGGCCACGGGGATTTGGTTTTGCTGAGTGGGCTGTGTGCATCGGGGCTGAGCAGACTCACTCCTGCCCAGAGGGAGGACTGGGCTCCCACACATCCGGAGCCTCCCTCTCTCTCCCCACTATTCCCTATGGCCACAGCACCTCCTCAAAGAAAAAAAAGTTAAGGGCTGGGGATTTAGCTCAGTGGTGCTGTCGCCCGCCTTGCAAGTGCAAGGTCCTGAGTTTGATCCCCAGTACCAAAAAAACAAAACAAAACAAAAAGAAAAAAAAGTTAAGAAATACTGAAATCCTGCCAGTTGGAGGCAGAGCTGGGTTGTTGCCCCTCCTCCACCCACACAGGGCAAGAGTGTTACACATCTTAACCCACCACTGGTGACCTGAAGCCTGAGTGCAGATGCCTGCAGTTGCCTGAACATGTGGTCCCCAGGAGGAGATGGCGGGATGCTGTGTGGGAAAGTCACCAGGATGGGCAGACTTAGTGCATCTGTGGCCCTGCTTTGAATTGGGGCTTCAGGATAGAAAGCACTTGTTCTGCAAGGCTGTGGGAGCAGGCTGGAGAAGGAAACCTCCTGTGAGGGGAGGGCAAACAGGGCTCAGCCTCCATCCTCCCAGATCCTGGGGCGGCCCCACTTCCCCCAGGGTCTGGTGTGACCCTGTTCCCTCCCATCTGCCTGCACCCAGCAGCAGGTGGGGGCAAAACAGGCTCTGATGGTTAATTGAGGAATAAAGATCTCTCCTGACAAGCCAAATTATTATGGTTTGTATTTTTTAAAAATATGATTGGATCAAATAGTGGAAATTTAATATATATATATATATATATATATATACACACACACACACTTAAATGTCTATAAATTTTAAAAGGGATTTATTTCCAGAACAATAGCATTATAATTCTCTGTAACATAATGGGTGTCCCTGTGTGGACAGTGAATGTTGAATTTAGACTTCAATCACTTCAGAGCGCTTGTCTGTGTGCAAGGGCATGCTGACCACGGTGGCATTTCTTTTCAGGCTTTGGAAAGGAACTTTTTGAGTCTGACCTAGACCGAATCATGGAACATGTGGAAGCGGCCATGGAAATGGTTCCAGTCTTGAAAAAGGCTGACATCATTAGTGTCGTCAACGGTCCCATCACATATACACCTGACATTCTGCCCATGGTCGGCCCACACCAGGGGGTCAGAAACTACTGGGTGGCTGTAGGCTTTGGGTGAGTATCTCTGCGAATCCAGTGGTGACTGTAAAATCATTTATTTGGCTGAATGTGGTCCCATAATTTCAAGGACAAAAAAGGAAAACACAGGAGAGAGAGAGAGACAGAGATTTTCTCTTTCATGACCAAGGAATAATACAAGAAATAAAAAATTTCAGTGTTAAAATACTGACTATATAATGGTTTAATTACCTATATAGGTTTGAAAGATTAGCATACAGAAAGACAATCATTTCCTGAACTTTTCTTTGTCTACTTCCTGACATTTCCATTATGGATGTCTCTTTTCATGCTGTTATCTTCTAGTAGGTCAGTTTGCCCCCATTTTATAAGGATGTTTTCATAACACAATGTGACAAAGATAATTCAAAATATCAAACGAATAATGTATCTGATGCATTTTTCACCATAATTTGTGTTTGCCCAACATGATATGTTTCTCTGTAATTCCTTGGGTTGCTTCCTGTTTATGATTCCATTGCCTCTTTGAAGTTTTATTTCTAATATTTGTCACATTAATTTGGTGAATATTGATGTCAAACCCACTTTACCATCATATCACAGCTTCTAATATTCTATTTTTCTTCCCCATTTTATCTGGCCACTTACTCCCGTGAACATTTAACAATTGCCAGCTGTCTGGCCTAGTGCTCCAATGCTGGAGGAGGGTAAATGGTAAATTGCTGCCTCTTATTCTCCTTGAGAAACAGCCTTCTAACAATTTAGGTATTCACTTTTCTAAAATAGCAAAATTGGTATCTTGCTGTGAGGAGAGCTAGTTAGCATTTCTAGTCTGCTGGATGCCACCCACACCCTTAGAACCTGTGGTTCTGGCTGCTGAGTCGCTGTACTTTGGGGGGCTGAAGTCTGCATTTCAGACCCTTCCCTGGGCAGCTCCTTTCCTTGGTTCTCTCCCCATGTCTCTGGCCCATTCGATTATTCAGAAGCTTCTCTTGACTTAACCGCAGATAAACTTACCGTGAAGGCCTTCGTGAGACAAGAGTGAGTGTGTAGAACTATGCATGACCACATACATGTGATCTCTCTACTCTGATAGCAAAAACACTATCATATTTTTGGTTTTCAAGAGTCTTCTTCTTATCGAATAGAAAGCAAGCCAATCTTCCCCACTAAGTGACCCATTAGTTGCAAAATACAGGGCCCAGAGAGCCTTTCTACCTCCCTGCATGTCCCAGGTGAATGCTTGTGGGCTGAATGCTTCCAAGATGACAGCCCTGATTCCTTGCAAAGAGGCTCCTGCCAAGCAGGTCCAAGCTGAGCTGAGTGTGAGGAGCACATGTTCTCCCTTCCAGTCTCCAGTCAGTCAGGATGATCACAGCTCAGGAGGGCCTGTGAGGCACGAGCCACACTAACCCAGTCCTCTGCTTCCTTCCCCCTCACTCACCCACACCCTTCTTTCCTCCACAGGTAGGAGATAAAGGCTAATTTGTAGATACACCCAGTACTGTGGAAAGAAACAAGCTATCAAGTCAGGCATGCTTAATTTGGATGCCTACGTGTCCATTTTAAAGGGAAAAATGGATAGCATAAAGATTATGTTACTTTATGTCCTGAATAGCACAGAACACTCCAACTTGGAGGCCCTGTAAACTATCTGGACATGTGTTTTCACTTGAAAACAACATGTGAAGATGACTGGGTGTCTCTGGTTTGCAAGGTACGGCATCATCCACGCTGGTGGGGCTGGGAAGTACCTCAGTGACTGGATCCTGCAGGGAGAGCCTCCTTTTGACCTAATAGAACTGGATCCCAACCGCTATGCCAAGTGGACCACAGCTCAGTACACCGAGGCCAAAGCCAGAGAATCGTATGGATTCAACAACATTGGTGAAGTACAGATTTGCAGTTGTACAAAGTATTTGCAGCATCTTTAGATGTTCTTTATTATGGTCAGGGACCCTAACAGTATCATGCTTTTCCTTAATTATTGTAATTTTTAAATAACTTTTCACTTTATCCCTTGATGATTAATGTAAATGACAGCTTTGATTTTTACATAAATCATACACACACACACACACACACACACACACACACACACGTACATCTGGCTTTTAAGTCCGGTATTTTCTAACTCCCTTCGAAGTCTTGTCATTTCGAGTGCCAACTCTCCTTTCCAGTTGGCTACCCTAAGGAAGAGCGCCTCGCAGGGCGGCCCACACAGCGAGTCAGCGGGCTCTACCAGGCTCTGGCACCCAAGTGCTCCATGGGGTTCCACGCGGGCTGGGAACAGCCAAACTGGTTCTACAGACCCGGCCAGGACACTCAGTACAGGTGCGTGAGCAGCTCAGCCTCAGGTGCTGGCAGAGGGTGAAGCCACAAAGAGTGAAGACACAACAGAGAGGTGCTGAGCCCCCTCTCACCCAAACCATCTGTTCCTGTGAAAGCTGTTTTCCGGGACGAAGGCCTGTATCTGCCCATAGGGCAGTGGCCCACACTGGGGACCCATGTACCCGGAGAGGTCCAGGAGCAGGCCTGGCAATGCCGCTTTCACTCTGGAATTTTTGCCAGAAAATCAGAGGACTGTCCTCACTCTGCCAGATCCCTCTTCCCCATGACCTCAGCTGCCTTTTGCCCTTTAGGATCTTGGTCGAATCACAGAGCATGAAACCTCAAAATGAAAGTGACCTGGAATTTGACTTTCTGCTCATCGTGAACTGAACTAGCTCAAAGTGTCTGCCTGATAGCATGTATGGTGTGTGCGTGTGTGCATATTCACACAAAGCCGTGCAAATCATGTTCCTGGTTGATAAATTAGGGGAGAAGATCATTAGCTTAGCATTTCAAGTTAAGCTAAGGCATAAAACAAGCCATCAGAACAGTGCTGTGAATCCCTGTAGAGCACCATGTGTCACACTGTACTTGAGATTAATCGTGATTATGTATTTTTTCTCATAAGAATCCATAAACCAAGGGAAAACAAGTAGCAAATCTAAAAGTTGTTATCTTTGTTTTCGGGCTGCCATTTTGCTTCTGTAAGTAGTTTTAATGTCTACATGAAAATCAGATCTAAGTGATATGAAGAATATTGAGCACTCAGCTATAGATGCACTCATTTGGGCTCCATAGGGAGCCCATTTCAGTTATTTGGTGGCCAGATACTGGTTTGGATTTTTTCTAAATGACTCAGATAAGTGCCAGCTCTATTTTTCACTTTGTACTTTTTGGATCTGACCTGAAATTCTTCTACCATTTTAATAATTAAGCTCCTGAGAACTCATTTTGCCGACCCAGCATCCTGCTCTGAAGTTAACATACCACATTAGAAGTCTGCTTTGTGAACTAGAAAGGACATTTCGCAATGTGCCAGGAGACCTTTGTTTAGACCCAGCCCTATCATTAACTAATGCAAAGGTCTTGGAAGTTATGCTATACCTTTTCTTTGAAAATATGTCTAGGTTTGGTGGTGTGTGCTTATGATCCCAACACTCTGAGAGGCTGAGGTAGGAGGATCTCAGGTTCAAGCCCAGCCTAGGCAACTTAGCAATTTAAAGAGATCTTGTCTCAAAACAAAAAAACAAAAAAGGGCTAGAGATGTAGCTCAGTGAAAACCTTCTAAGTTCAAATCCCAGTACCCTCCCCCAAAAAGATGGTGGACCAGATAGCCTGGCAGCCTGTTGCACTGTAAACCACAGAGCTCTGTCCCAGTGTACAGCATCCGAATCTGGATTCTTAACAAGTTCAGTTGACTTGCATTTGCATTAGCGCTTGGGAAGCACTGGACTAGACAGCTCCCTCTCCCCTCCAATATTCTGATTTAATTAGGCCCAAGCACTGGTATTCGAAAAATGCTCCCCTGGTGAATTTAATACACCACCAGGGTGGGAAGCTGGTGACTGGTGCTCACCTCCCAGCCTGGGAACCCACACGTTCTGTCTTACATTCCAGTTAACTAACACTTTGTTTGCTATGAAATGGGCCAAGTGAGTAACTTTAAAAGGCAGAGCCCAACATATTGATATATGATTTGCAAATAATTAACATTGCATCTCTTTTCCCCAAAAATAGGATTTTCTATACAGGTAAAGTTTATTAAAATATCCTCATTCTGCCCTGTTGGGCTGTGAGAGAAAGTGTTTTATAACACTGAACACTGTTTCAGGCCAAGTTTTCGCCGCACAAACTGGTTTGAGCCGGTGGGCTCTGAGTATAAACAAGTTACGCAAAAGGTGGGAGTGATTGACCTGACTCCGTTTGGCAAGTTCCACATCAAAGGCCAGCACTCCGTGAGGCTGCTGGATCATCTCGTGGCCAATGTCATTCCCAAGGTAAAGAGCCAAGGTCCAGGACTCTCGCCCCTTTGACTCTCCATCCTCTCATTTTTACTTCCAAAAGTCAAAATCCAGTATGCTATTTTAGTTCACGTACTGATATCTGTGTGAACACCAGAACTCTTCAATGGAGAGAATATAAGCTACTTTTCAAATTTAAATTTTTGTTGAGTGATTTACTGTATCATCCAAGGACCTACTGACTTTGCTTAATTATGTCAGTGGGAATTTAAAACTGACTACAACTGGGCCAGACATGGTGACATCCCAACATTTGGGAGGCTGAGGCAGGAGGATTTCTTAGAGTTTAAGGGCAGTCTAAGTATATAGCGAGCTCAAGGCCAACTTGAACTACATAGTGAGACCCTGCCTCAAAAATAAATAAATAAAATTTTAAAATTGACTGAAATTGAATGTGTAGTTTTTTGCTTTTTTTTTGTACTGGCTATCAAACTCAGGGCCTTGAGCTTGCAAGGCAGGTGCGGTGCCGCTGAGGTAAATCCCCGGCCCCAAAAGTGTAGATTTTTTTTAATGGTTAATGGTAGTTTTGCTAAAAAATTTTTTATTACTACATATTGAATGTATATATTAACATTTTTTGTTTTGGTTTTTTGAGACAAGGTCTCACTATGTAGCCCAAAGGAGCTTCCAGAGTGCTAGAACAATGGGCAAATGTCATCTGGGATTTTCTTTTGGTGGTGGTGCTGGGGTTTTGCTGTGTTGTCAAGGGTCGTCCTGAAATCTTGGGCTCAAGTGATCCTCCTGCTCAGCCTCTGAAGCAACTGGAACTAGGCACACACCACCATGCCTGGCTACATGTGTATCTATTTTTTCAAAGCCATTTTTATGAAAATCCTGTGACAATGAATAGATGGCAAACTCTTGTAGCTAATTAACTCCTCCAGCTTGCTAGATGCAATTTTTTTTTTTGTTTTGTACTGGCGATTGAACTCAGGACTTTGCACTTGCAAGGCAGAAGTGATGCCACTAAGCTAAATCCCTACCTGCTAGATACTATTTTTAAAGTCCAAATATACCAGTCATCCAGGACCAGAGATGGTAGTGCATTTGTAACTAGCATCATTATTTTCATTTCTAAATCCACTCAATGAAGGTGCAGCCTTTGGAAAAACAGCAGTTCTTACTAGTAGTTTGTTAGTGGAAGGGGATTTTTTTGTTCTCCTGGATTTTCACATTTCACAGTGAGCCACTGCCTGCAGAAGCTGAGCCCATGGACACACAACTGTAACCATTGCTGGATTATACATATCTTCAGCCTCTTGCTCTGAGTTGTTCATTGAAACACAGGCAGATTAAGGAGCTCAAGGTTCCTGAGATAAATAATAAGTCCAGCTGTCAGAGGCAGAGCTCTTCAGAGAAAACCAGTCTGCACTCTGCTGGGATCGCCAAGGCTTCCCTGGTGTCTATGGATGTGGAGTCCCAGACTGTCAAAGTGGCTTAGGGCTATTGGCTCTCTGTCTGCCTCACTGTCTGCCCTTGCTTGTCATGCTGTGGGGCAATTTGAGAGAGATGCTCAGGATGAATTCTCCATAGCTCCTGCAGCAACCTAACATAGGGCAGCTTGGGAAGGCAGTCAGAAGGTATGCACTTAGGGCTTCTGAGGCCCCACTCTGCATGGTCTGTGAAGGATAATTTCACTTGGAGGTTAATGACTCTGTTCTGCTTCCAACTGGCTGAGTGACCTCAGGTCTCTTACAGTGTCCTTGGGCCTCAGTTTCCTCATCTTTGTATTTCTACAGACATTGTTTATCTTTAGAAAGTTATGGAGAATTGGTTGGGAGTGGTTGTAAGCAGATCTTTTGTTCCAATCTCAAAGGGAAAGTGAAAATCAATAATTTAATACAGTTTGCACCATATAGCATCTACCAAAAGTATTAATTTTGATAGCAATGTCAGCTTGAAGGTACCGAAGTGCATCATTATAGATTACAATTCCAATTTAATGAGAACATTCTTCAGGCTGATATGTTTGAGTCTTATTCCCTTTTGGAAGATGTAGACAATGGGTGGTTACTGCATGATGTTTAATTCTGTCATGTAGTATTGTTGATGCACAGCTGGTGCTAAGCTGATCTTTGTTATCTTCCTGGGCCTGCCCTTAGGAGCCACCCCACTGGGGGAAAACCACCTGTCTGTCCTGCAGTGTGGCCCTGGGAGGCTCCAGGTCTGCTGGGTGTCCCAGCTCCTCCAGGTTGGGCGAGTGGCTACCCACTGAAACTGATCCCAGAAGTGTAGTTTTTATGACAGCTTTGAATGATTGTTTAAGATGAGACTGCTAAATTAATCTTGGGCTTACATAGTTCATACAATTGATATAGATGATAAGAGTAGGAGGCATTTCCATGTTAACACCCATGTTTTTACTTATATATGTCTTAAAAGAATCATAAGGTTTTCAATTCACCCTAAGTCCTTTTGAATTATTTGGTGTAGGTGGGCTTTACAAATATAAGCCACATGTTGACACCCAGAGGTCGTGTGTACGCCGAGCTGACTGTCTCCCACCAATCCCCTGGCGAGTTTCTGTTAATAACTGGTTCTGGATCCGAACTTCATGATCTTAGGTAAGCACACAGCTAATAAGAATGCTCTGTATGCCAGGTGTGGTGGTACACACCTGTAATTCAGCACTGTAGGAGGCTGAGACAGGAGGATCCCAAATTGGAGCCCAACCTGGGCAGTTCAGCCCAGGCTGTCTCAAAAATAAAGTTAAAAAAGAGAACATTTTGTACAGATTACGTATTGGCTCAATTTTACATTGAGTTTTCCTTTGACAGTACTTGAAGTACAGCTTTAATTCTTCCTTTAACTTTGCCCCTTTTTTGGGAAACATTTGAAGGCCCTGCCCCCCTCCAAACGCCCCATGCGTTGGGTTTCCTGGTTCTAATGATGTTAAGTTCTGTTTAGGAGACATGGCCAGTGTGCTGGAACTCCTTTTGAACACTACCTTAATCAGTTCTCCTCATACTTTTCAAAGTATGCATTGTGCTCATTTTCAGGTGAGGAAGCTGCAGTGTGGCTGAAGTGGCTCAAGCCAGACCACCTGCTTCCAACCCCTCGATTCGCTGCCCCTCAGAGCCCCTCTCTGTGCTGCCCAGCCTCCAGCTAAACACGGCCCTGCCAAATTGGGCCTCTTTGTGGGTCTTTGTCTATTAGAAAGTCTGTAGTCTTTGATGCTCCAAAAATGCTTAGAACACCGTTACCTAACACATGCTCACTCGGACAGGGCTTTGCCATGGTTATAAAATGATGCACATCATCTGCTTTTGTGCAAGCTTTGCCTCAGTCCACTCAAACCCTTTACCATAGACTTGCATAGCCCAGGGAATGCTCAATAAATTATAACAGGGGGTCAACTGGGCTCCCATAACTCATCAGGGCTTAGAAACTGAAACCGGAGTTTTTAATCTTTTCCTTGTGATCATCAGAGCAATTCTGTGTCTGGTGGCAGGCACGTATCAACCTTCAGCAACTCAAGTGTGCCTCCTGCATGTAACCATTAGAGCAAATTTAGGTTTCAGTTAATTTTTGAAGACTGAATCATTACTTTATTTATTTATTTATTTTTGGTACCAGGGACCAAACTTGGGACTTTCTGCTTGTGAGGCAGGTGGCGGAACCACTGATTTAAATCCCCAGCCCATGAATCACTACTTTAAATGTAATAGAACTGTCACTATTTTTTTTTTTTGGTACCAGGGATGGAACTTGGGTCCTTGCGTTTGCAAGACAGGCAGTGGAACGACTGAGCTAAATCCCTGGCCCTATTTTTTTTTTAAAATCATGTGGCAGAGCTTGTTTAAATGGAAGGATCCTTCTGTACTGTTTCAAAATCAGGTGTTTGTATACAGTGGTCCTCTGGGGCCTTTCTGGTAATTCTAGACACCAAGCCTGCCTTCAGGGAAATAGGACAGCAGCAGCCCCACAATATTCAACACAGTGTTTATGACTCAAATACAGATGGATTGAGGAAGTAGCCAACAAAGGTGGATATGATGTTGAGATTAGAAACATAACCGATGAGCTGGGTGTCCTTGGAGTTGCGGGTCCACACTCAAGGAGGGTCCTTCAGAAGCTGACCTCTGAAGACCTCAGCGAAAGTGCTTTCAAGTTTCTGCAAAGCAAGTCCTTCAAGGTTTCTGGCATTCCTGTCACTGCTATTAGGATATCGTATACCGGTAAGAGCCTCGAGACAGCCCAGAATAAATTTCTCACTTTACAAGGAGCAGCCAGGAGAAATAGGTGTGTGTGGACACACACACACACACACACACACACACACACACACACACTCTCTCTCTCTCTCTCTCATGAGTCTGTGTGATTTGGCAGGAAGATTTCTTTTGCTCAGCTCTAAGATGAGTCTGCCTACTCACTCGGAGGCTCGAGTGTGTTTCCAAAGATTTGCATTTGTTGCTCCTGTTTAAAACAGTACAAAAAGAAAACAGGAAAAGGACGACTGTCAGGATAGCTAGAAAGTCCAGGCCAGCAGCCCTATCAGGAGCAAGGGTCTCCCTTAGAGGCCGCCTTGAATGTGTTGCTTTCTATTGCTTTCTCTTCAGCATTACCAGTGGGGCGTCTTTCTCCCCAGACTGTATGCTCACTAGGAAACCTCTGCCTTGCACTAGCCTTGCACGTGGAAGGCATCTGACACAGAGTGCTCTTTGTTCCCCATCATGCCCTGGGTGGACTCCTGCCTTCCTCACCTCTTGGCCCCTGTGCTGAAGGGGAGCACTGTGCCCAAGCTCGGTCGCTACCACTGGGCACTGGGCTGGTGGTGTCCTGGTGTCAGCCCCTGATGATGGGGACAAGGAGAATACTGTAATCTCCCCTGGAGGCTACAGACCTCCCCTGGGCTTCTGCTCTGAATGTTCCCAACTTCTTGAACCAAACTGGGGGCAAATCATGATCAGAATAAAAATAAGCAGAATAAAAACTAAGCAGGACAGTTTGGGTTTCTTTTTTCTTTTGCTTGCTCACTGACCCCCACCCCAGCCCTAATGCTGAAGAAAGTGACTGAGTAGGGAAGGAAGGACGAGAGGGAATCCAAGGCCACAGCCCTCACACAGTGCAGAATGGCTGAGTAATTCTCAGCTGACTGGATTTTTTTTTTTTTTTTGGTACTGGGGATCAAACTTGAGTCCTTCCGCTTGCAAGGCAGGCGGAACCACTGAGCTAAATCCCCGGCCCTGATTGGATTTCTAAGCCTTGTGACTCCTGGGCAGGGGCCTGGTAGTTGGGTTGTCTATCTGTATAAAATATGCCAGCCTAATTAGTCTCCTAACTGGTTATCCTGAAATGGCCCACAGTCACCCCTCACTGTGCACTAGGCTCGCCCCGCATCCCCTTCTGTCCGCCTCACTCGGGATAGGAGCATCCTGTAGCCCAGTGTGCCTGGTCAGGGTCACTCGCAGATGCACCCGGTGTGGCGGCTCCTTGTGGTGGGGTCTTGTGGAGAGTTTTCATGAGCTTGTCTTTTAAAAACCAATCATGTCTCCATTGGAAACAAGGAGTCTCCCCTCTCGTTTGGGTTTTAGCTCGCGCACACTGACCGGGTGGGTGGTCACCACTCTTACTCTGTGTGGCCCTGTGGGTCTCTTTCAGGAGAGCTGGGCTGGGAGCTGTACCACAGGCCAGAAGACTCGGCACCACTCTACGAGGCTATCATGAACTCGGGCCAGCAGGAGGGGATCGACAATTTCGGAACCTATGCCCTGAACGCCTTGAGACTGGAGAAAGCTTTCCGCGCCTGGGGGGCTGAGGTTTGGGATGCTGGTGGCTTCATTCAGAGTTCCTATTTCCCTCAGATGTTTGCGTGAGGGTTCTGTTTAACACTGGTTCTGGCTGAAAGAGCAATTACATATTAGACACCTTTATTTACAGGGGAACAGTGGAAAGTTCAGTGGGATTCCAACATTAGGTTTTTTTCTGTCTCCATTCGCCCCATGAGACAGGGAGCTCTGTGTGTGACTGGGGGGATCAGGCCCCTGTGGGAGGCGAGCCCCACCTTCACATTGTCTTCTCTCCATGCTGCCCATCCTCATTTTCTTCTTATCTTGTCCTTTTGGGCGAATTACTTCTTTCTTTCTGAGGGGTGAGGCCATTAGTCCTGCATGTGCAAGTCTAGGCCTCCTCCCCCAGTAATAAAAAGAGTGTCCACTTGTGTCGTGCTTTAGCCATTCACACAGTTTCATAGGCATGATTTTATTTGCCTTCTCAATTGTCCAAGAAGTTTCACCATTGCTCCTATTTTACATGGAGTCCAGGGAGATTCAGTGAGCCTCTTGGTTCAAATTACACAGCATGCAGCCAAACTGGGGTTTCAACCCTGTCCTCTCGTTTTACCAAATCTCCAGTGTGGCAGCCCTCTAGGTCGGTGGTGGCAAAGCTATGGCATGTGTGCTGCAGCAGGCTGTTTATTATCACTGAAAGCTCGAAAAGGTTCGCCATCACTGCTGTAAATGCTCACCCTTTGCAAATTTGTGGTTCTCTCCTTGGAGGCAATGAGGTGAGATTCAGAGAGGAGATTCTGGAGTCTGAATTTATCCTCTACAGCATACTGGCTAAGGGGCCTAAGCCCCCAGAGCCTCTGCCTTTTTATATGAAGGACTATGTATCCTACAGAATTATGTTACAGGTAGTCTTTAAAGGGCCAAGCAAAATTTCAAATGCATTGTGAATTAATTAATCTAATTTAAAATCTACTTCGAAGGCCCAGGCAGGGACCCTTGAGGATTGAGACTGAGTGCAAGCAGGTGGCTTCTGAGGGGAAGTCAGTGAGCAGAGCTCTGGGAGAGTAAAGGGCCTCAGGCATCTTCTCCAGGAAAGGTGCTCTGTTAATGTGCCTTGGGTTTTGTTTTATTGTTGTTTCCCGTATTGGGCTTGAACCCAAGGCATTTGCTGAGCTACATCTCCAGTCCTAAAAAACAAAAAACAAAAAAACTCACTAAGTTGCTAAATTGCCAGTGTCCAATTTATGATTTTCCTACCTCAGCCTCCCACGGTCCTCAGATTATAATGCCTGGCTTGTTAGTGTTCTTTTGCTGGACACCTGGGCTGGCCGCCCAGCGAGAAACACAGGCCGGCTCTGTTCCATGGGCCCAGGAATGAAGCAGCAGAAGCAGCCCTTTGATCGCTCTGCGCCCTCTGCCCTTGCTCCACCTTGCTCTTCCGCACCTCCTCTCGAACTCTTCGCCTTCTTGGGTCACTCAGGTTTTCCAGCGGTGCCAGCGCTCCCTCTAGTGTTCTGACAGCGATCATGCTTCTCTGCTTTTTTCCTTGAAAAATTCTGAAATTAAGCAGATAAAACATACTTTTAGATGTGGCGCAAGTGCAAGGACCTGAGTTCGATCCCCGGCACCCCCCCCCCGCCCAAAACCTTTTAGAGTGGTTCAAATTGATTAAGAGATGTGAGGGACATTTTTATGGTCATGTGAAATAATCTTATGCTCACTTGGTTCATGTAAGTACTGTGCTGTCTTTTAAAGTTGACTCCTTTTAAGTCAGGAGTCATGGCACACGCCTGACATCCCAGCTACTTAGGAGGCTGAGCCAGGAGGATCACAAGTTCAAGACCAGCTTGGGCTACTCTTCGAGATCCTGTCTCAAAATAAAAATTTTAAGAAATGGGCCGAGAATATAGCTCAGCAGTAGAACACTTCTCTGCTATGCACAACACTTTGGATTCAGTCCCCAGCACCACAAAAATAAATAGATAAGCAGTTTGACTTCTTTTAGACAGAGCCCTTATAGAAAAGAAAATGAAGTTTTTCTCTTCTTGAACTTTTAAATTAGTTTCAGGACTAGTGGGTGCTGGCTTTTAGCCCTGAACTGACGTATATGGTTCAGCCCTGTCTGAGAAGGTTAAGAACCCTGTTCTTTCATGGTCCTTCCCTGAACTCCATAGAAGACATTTCCCTACTACCTGCTTCTCCCTTTCCTTATCCTGGCTCTTGGCTAATTGCAAGATAAATAAATTTCTTACAGACTTTTTCAAAACCTAATTATATAAAATTATTACATACATTTGGGACAGTCTTGTTTGTGGAAGGGACACAGTGTTTATCCTTCAGATATTTATTAAAATGAAAGAGCTATGCAAACAAATCCTGAGATTCAGTTTCTATGTTTGCTATATTCAAATGATCATATTTGCTGAAAGGCTATGTTTGAATTTTGAATTAAAAAAAAACTATTCTAGAGAGCAGTCCATAATTTGCCTTTTTCAGCATCTATATTCAAATATCACAAAGTGTTCTTTCTCCTAAAAAGATGACACATGAAAGTGATGTTACCAAAATGATTAGTACTCATGTAAGATTTAAAATGTGTGTTTTCTGGCCAGGGATTTAGCTCAGTGGTTCCCCTGCCTGCCTCGCAAGTGCAAGGTCCAGAGTTCAATCCCCGGTACCAAAAATAAAATGAAATGTGTGTTTTTCTTTTAGATGAACTGTGATACAAATCCCTTGGAAGCTGGACTGGAATATTTTGTCAAGTTAAACAAGGTAAGTTTACATTCCAAAGTGTGCTTGAAGTAAATATTAAAATGCTAACACTGTTTTGTGACAGAGCCATGCTTTAAAACTTAACCAAGTGCAATTATGGGAAAAATCGGTTGTGCAAAAGCTTATTATGAGGCTAATTTATTATAGCCCAGTTCATTTATACAACTCTTACAAATATAAAAAGAGTGCTCATTGTGCAGTGTCTGAGAATTACTACAAAAGAACTTAACAGAATCCATAGTTGTTGGTAGTACTGAAGGGTGGGGACAGCAGCTGCTGGTCCAAATTAAACTGTCCTGCCCTTGATACATGAATCAGGCTAAGGAAATGTTAATGTCCCTATATCAGTCCCCCAATGCTGAGCTAAAATGTTAACATAAAATGTGTATATTTATAGTGCTAGATTTTAGGAAAAAGAACCATCTAAAGGGTTTTAAAGGGAATAGCTTCTGTACATTTTTCCATGGCTTTTATTTTTATGATGTACCATCTGCCTCCAGACCAGAGAAAGCAGGTGCTGGGATTTGGGCAGAGCCTAGCAACAAATTGCTCCTTCCAACAACAGAAGTTTTCCTTTGGCTCTGGAAAATAAGGATAAAAACACCTGACTCGAAAGCACTGAAGTTCTGTTGTTGGTCACCAGTGAATAGATGGAGAGCTGATTCTTTTGTTTCAGTGTTTAGATATTATTGTTTTGGGACAAGGCCTACATAAATGGTCTCTTTGTGTTGAAATTGGATTCTTAAGACACTTTATGATTACCAGCAGGTGTGGATTGTGTATTTATTAGCTCTTTTAAATGACATAATCAAACAATCAAAGTCTGGCCTGAAGAACGTGGCCTAATAGGTACTAATTTTGATTAACTGCCTGTCTTCATGATTTCTGAATTGTTAGTTCTCATTCAGGCATCACAAAGTTAATCCTTAATTATTTTATTGTATAAAGATCCACATAGACTATAGACTTGGCCCAGGCAAGTTTTTCTAACTATGTCAGTTTGGTTGGTTAGTTGGTATCAATCTAGTCACAGCCATGCATGATAATTTCTAAGACTGGTGAATAGATTGGATCAACTTTGTGTAGATCCTATTTGGTGGTTTCACAGCAACTTTGGCTTGATTTCATATCACCATATAATGTGAAACAGGTTCCTGAAAAACTTATTAACATTACAAACTAAGCTATGTAACTTCATATTCAAGTCCCAAGCCTAAAAAGTAAAATCTTAGACACTTAAAGTACAGGAGGTATTCCCTTTAAAGCCCTTTAGAAGGTCTCACATACCTTTTTCAGAATAATATACTGCAAGTCTATATTGCTTTGGAAATCAATGCAATATGAAAATAGAAGCTACACCCAGTGCAGAGCAGTATTTGATACCAAAATCCTAAAACTCTGGCATTTCGTTCAAAAGCAAATAGGTAGCATTCCTTGCTTGGTTCTTAAGCATTTACATGATGATTATATAAACACAATGAGAAGAAAAGTGAGGGAGGCAGACTGTCAGGCTAGATCCCTGAAGACCACCAGCACCCTCCTCAGCTGAGGGCATGGGAACCAAGGCAGATGGGCAGAGAGGCCTGGGAGGCCTCCTGGGGCCAGGTTGCATGCACACCTTTTTCTACAGCGTCTCAGGTGTGAACTGTCCAGGAATCTCTGTGTTTTAAACAGAATTTGTATACACTCCCTTTTACAGACTGATATCCCCACAGCCGTGCTTTTGTTATAACCGACTTTGTTTTCTGGTAGCATTAACATAGCTGCTTTGCTTATTTTAAGGAGGAAAGTGGCTGTTTGAGAAGATGGGCCATCAGGCCAAATTAGGGTGAACTGTCTACTTGTCAAAACCGCTAAGAAAGGAGGGAACACTCGGGAAATCTTCTGTGACAAGGGAGGGTGTGGGCGGCCCTGGCTTCCTTCTGTCTCGGGTTGGGTTAGCTCAGTTAGCCCCGGGCCTGACTGGGGCGGGGCGAACTCAGGAGCACTCGTTCATCTAGGAAGCATTTGCTACAGACCATTTATTTAACACCTTGCTGCGCCACAGGTCTGAAAGTCAATGATGCTCTGTGATTCTGTTGGCACTCTGGTCTCATGAAGCTTGAAAACAAATGGTGTTTCGGGAAGCAAAGCTGTGGGATCTGTTCTTAGCCTTGATCTAGAACCGCTCAGAGCTGTCAGTGGCACACAACTCTGCCCCTTGTGGAGGTGAAAGTAATGGAATCTAGCAGCTGCCTTTAAAACCTAACACTTCCGTAGAATTGTGATCGAATAATTATATCCGCTGTATTTGCCAAAAAAGAAAAAAAAGATACATAAAATGTCCTTAGGCAAACCTTTCTCTTAAAATACCCTTATAGTTATGTCTAGGGGGAAAAGCCTCTTCATTTAGCTAATATACCCTTTGTAATTAGAATGGCATTTCCTTTTGTCTAAAAAAAAATATGGTACTCATTTTTAAAAATATATACAGCTTTTTTATTAGTACATGTTTGCAGTACATGCAGTTTATAGTCATCTTGAGGAGCGGGTACATGTGTTACAGTTGAATGAGCCAAAGTAGCCTAGGTTCTTGTGCATGACAAGGAAAAAATTGCCAAGCATGCAACCCATTGTAAGTAGTTAAGTAGTTATATTTTATTGAAGATCACAGAACGCTATCAGCAGGAACAGGCAGAGGGACAAAGTGAAAAAGGAGGAAGAGTAACCCTCAATAACTCAGGCTTCCAGTATTTAAAGGGTCGGACACCTCTAACTCCAGCTCCCATGGTGGTCAGACACCTCTGACTCTAGTGCCTCCCATTCAGTCTCTCCCTGGTATAGATGATCTGACGCCTCAGGCATTGCCACCTCCTGAGTTTAAACATGGATAATCATTAGGGTGGTGTTGTGTTTATAGTTCAATGAAGGGAAGGGAGTGGGTCCCTCAACTTTCCTGTTTCTAACTGTACTACTTGTACATAATGTAGCTTGTTTCTTTAATCCCCTCCCCTTCCCTCTCCCTCCCTCCTCACTTAATTCCCCTTGCCCATTTTCATTCTTATTGATATTATTAATCTTAGCTCATGTTTATGACATATAATGCTTACAACCATTGAGATTATTAGGTTCCTATACATGACATATCTTTGTTCTTTATTTATTTATCGGTACATTTTAGGTATACAATACATTTACATTTATTGTTGGGTGTTTGTACCTGAACATGATGTATCTTAGTTCTTACTTTTTCTCCATTACCTG